ACACACACACACACACACACACACTATGCACTTGGCGACATCCACTGTAGGAGATTGATACCAGGAGAGTGTAAGGCAGGGTAACAAAAAGTTTCATCTTTTAACCACCACTCTTCCACTCTCCACACACACTCTATGCACTTGGCGACCTTCAATGTAGGAGATTGATACAAGGGAGTGTAAGGCAGGGTAACAAAAAGTTTCATCTTTTAACCACCACTCTTCCACTCTCCACACACACTCTATGCACTTTGCGACCTCCAATGTAGGAGATTGATACCAGGGAGTGTAAGACAGGGTACCAACAAGTTTCATCTTTTAACCACCACTCTTCCTCTCTCCACACACACACTTCATGCACTTGGCGACCCAGTACCAGGGGAGCGTAAGGCATTCACTGAGTGTAAGACTGGGACTGTGCCATGAATGGATGAAGGCCGACATCGGGCCACGAAGGGATGATGAGGTGCTACAGAGGGCAGCCTAGTGTCAGTGACAGCCTCACTGGAGCCATTTAGCTCTGGATGCTCTCCTGTAACCACGATGTCCTCATGCAAGTTCCATTACCACACTCACATAATTCAAAATCAATAGTAAATGGAAATAAGCCGTTTGTTCATTACACGGCAAGGATTTGCTTTGCATATCCTTAACACACATTGGACAGCCAGCCTGGGACTCGGTCTCCCTACACCGGCTGTATACGTGGATCAGCTGTGTGATAAATTTACTCCTTCCGTTAAACAAGTCACAAATGGCAGCTGTTGATATCAATACATCAGCATTTGTGTTGGAAGAACAACGCAAACAGTCATTGTATCTTTGTTTAGAACCTCTTAATGTTGGGTAGGATGGCTGACTGGCTGAGTATGGATTTCCGCCCTTTTTAGCAATATTCCAGCAATATCACGGCGGGGGACACCAGAAATGGGCTTCACAAGTTGTACCCATGTGGGGAATTGAACCCGGGCCTTTGGTGTGATGAGCGAATGCATTAACCACTAGGCTACCCCACCGCCCTGTTGGGTAGGATGGAATATTTCTTCAGGGGGATCCATGATTGTAAATGTTTGTAGTTTCGGTGTTTTTAAAAATCTTCATGTCGAGTGAGTGAGTGAGTGAGTGAGTGAGTGAGTGAGTGAGTGAGTGAGTGAGTGAGTGAGTGAGTGAGTGAGTGAGTGAGTGAGTGAGTGAGTGAGTGAGTGAGTGAGTGAAGTTTTACGCCGCACTCAGCAATATTCCAGCTATATGGCGGCGGTCTGTAAATAATCGAGTCTGGACCAGACAATCCAGTCATCAACAGCATGAGCATCGATCTACACAATTGGGATATGATGACATGTGTCAACCAAGTCAGCGAGCCTGACCACCCGATCCCGTTAAGTCACCTCTTACGACAAACATTTGTTACTGAAGATCAATTCTAACCCAGATCTTCACGGGTTGAGTGACTGAGTGAATGAGTATGGTTTTAAGCTGCTATTAGCAATATTTTACTATCAACGGGGGACACAGAAATCGCCTTCCCACATTGTACCCACAGTGACAGTAGAAGACTAACACACATTTCAAAACATAAGGATCACAGGTTACAAGCATCACATGCTTTGTTAATTGAAAGTCTTATACTCCTTCTAATTAAACTTTGAAAAATATTAGATTAGTAGAATATGTTTTCCTTTCACCATGCAGCGTTTCTTACAAATATTTAATCATGAATGGGAGTTAAATCTAGTCATCTTTTGATGAGAGAACTTTCAAAAATTGTAGTGCCTTCCATTGATACATCATTTCTGCTATTGTCGATTTCTTTATCATCTGGAATCAAAAGGTACAATATACCTTTTTCCCTGGAAACTCGAGCAATTTCTCAATATTATCAGAAAAATTTCATCATTGAGACATGGCTGGCTTCTGGCACTGACAAATATTTCTGGAAATTATTCAGCAAAATCATGTCCATTACTTTCCCTCACAATTTGTTTCTTTAATTAATTTTCCCTGCTCAAAAAATAAAATCCTCATGTTTTTATTGGCCAAAAATGTAAACTTACAAAAAAAAAATTTTTTCATTGTTTTTTGCCCCATATAAACTTCATAAATTGCCAAAAATAAAATACTTTTAGTATTCAAAAGGAAAATTATTTTGACTAGTGATTTTTATTTTTTATTTTTTCCCCGCCTGCCTTTAGGTTTTCTGAGGACAAAAATCCGTAAAACACGAAATAAAATTGATCTTGCCTAATATTACATATTAATATTATATTGATTACTAAAGACACAATCTAGAACGATATCAAATTTATATTTTATGAGCTGCATATGTTATAAAACATGACATTCAATGAATTTGAACTTTTTTCAATAAACTTGAACACCAGAAGCACAGTGTCAAATGACGCAATGCATCAGTAATAACATATGTTTTATCATGTTCGTAATACTATAAGGAATACATATGTTACACTGTTCTGCATTATTATTCATAGGAACTTTTTCTTAAAATATTTCACAAAAATTATTGCATCTGTTACTAAATGCTGTAAAGCGTTAAGATATTTTCCCCACGATTCTGATTGGCTGACTCAAAACTCAAAAGAAAATTTAAAATTTTTCAACAACCTTCAATCCAGAACTGTTTTCTCAAAAGGATTTTCCTGCGAACTGTCTGTGCACCAACATGCAGCATTTGAAACAATACCTACACATAGAAGTGGGAACTCTCATGAATTGAACTACTAAAAATTAAAAGGAACCCTGTTAATGAACAATCAATAAATCAGTTAAACAAACTGTTCAAAGGAGAACATTTTATCAAGGTAAGAGCATACTCTGCCATACAACAAATGTTCTTTGCAGTCAGGATTTCATTTGAAAGGCTTTTTGTTTGCTGCACCGTCTGACCTCAATCAGCCAGAAAACTACAAATTTAGAGTGCATCTGCTTCATTCCTCTGCACAATTCTACACAATTTATGACTGTTCTTCTTCAATACATGCACAAAAATTGAAAAATAATCCTTAATTAACAAAATCTTTCATAAAAGTCATTTCCAAATTGTGAAAATGTCATTGTCAAACTGGGACACCTCTCACATGCCTTTTGGTCATCATGATTTAAAGTAGACTCACTGAGGAGGTTAATAATTAAAATTTAATGTTTCAAAAGTTAACTTACGCCTTGTTGAACATAAAAACACACTTTCACTTGTTAGTGAGTGAGTGTGGTAGTTTAGTTTTACACCGCTTTTAGCAACATTCCAGCAATATCATGGACCCCAGAAATATGCTTCAGACATTGTACCAGTGTGGGGAATCGAACCCAGGCCTTTGGGTGAGGAAATGCTTTAACCACTAGGCTAACCACTGCCCCTTTCAGTTGCTAGATAAAGTTGATCACCAAAACAGGTATTCTATCCTTCACTCCCGCACAACACATTTCGATTAGTTATCAATGTCGTACTGCTACGTCAAAACAAACATCTAACTGTTAAAAACATCCAAAAACATTTAATAGCTTGTGGCAAACTAAAGTCAGCATGAAGGTAAAACTGATCAACATCAACGTTAAAAGGAATGAACTTTCACCCAAAACATACTAATACATACAGAAGCCAGAAACTGGAACATTACAGAAGTGGTTTTGATCAGTTACGTTTGAATGGGTTCACATATTGTTGTACAACTGTCACACAGCATAGCTTCAGTAAGTGTACCGAATAATTTATTGCAAACAACGCTGGTCAGGGATGAGATGATCACTAATTCGTGGGGACTATCGTCAATGGAAGAGGTGGGTATAGACTAGTGGAGGTGCGATTAATTGAAATAATCGAAGATTGGTCGCAATGACTTAATGACCATGCAATTGATCATGTTTTCTCATAATCGAACACAAACAGTTTTGGAACACTTGTTTGCATTAACAATATTAACAATGTTTTTTTCTGTTACATTTCATAAGCACTACTAGCTCATTCCAGGTCAGGATTGAATTTATCTTAAAGACTCCAGGAAATTTATGTTCCTAACATACTAGTCATCCTGTAAAGAAGTGAAATTTGCAAATGCATTGTGTGCAATTTGCAAAAAAACCGGAAAGGACATGTGTTTTTTAAAAAAAATTGTGCATTAAGAAACATAACCACGAAAATTTGATAAATGACGCTAACCAATTATTTTCGATGATTCATCGGCTGTAATGAACCAATCATCAATTATGAGATTTTAGCCAATTCCCAACACTAGTATTGACACAGGGGATGCTTCACACACGAGACAGCAGGTGTATGGATGACGTGATGTGGTTACATACTCCAGGGGGCACAGTGACCTGTCCGTCCACGTGGTAACACAACGCGGTCATTGTGCTGCAACATTCACCCGCGGCTGGACACACAAGTGCTGATTCAGGCCTCCATTTGGCCAACTCTCAGACAATCTAATTACCCAATAAACCTAGACCATTATTGGATGAAAGAGAGCCCCAGAACATCTCTTGTCAGGTAAAGATCAGTGCTTCTGCTGTCAATACTCTCATAATCACCAGTGTAAAACTGGTGGTTTAGGTGGGAAACTTGACAGTTCCCACACGGATCCCAAGGCATGTAATTTAGCACTGAAATGTGATTGTATGCTGTCGGTGTCTGCCGAGTTGCCAGGTAATGTATGAATGATGAGAATTAAAGTCTCGTGTTATTGATGAAGCGTCAAACTCTCATTACCATAAAGTCGGTATTCCAGGACCCACTGAAGTGGATCAGAAGGCCTTCACAATAAAATCAAAGGATCTATTGTCAGCCATCATGGAGAAAAACAGTACCATATTGAACATGCTCCAACATGCATAACATCCCCACAATACACATCAACAGCCTAGAAATCAATATACCACATTGATATGTCAAATACCAGGACATAAAACATACTTGCAGTTACAGTTGAACCCAAATAGTCACTGACTGTTTCACGAAAACGGTTCTATAGGCATGGCATACTCACATCATTCGACATGGTCCTGTCCGTAGCTGACAAGGCTTGCTCGCTGCCGGACAGGGAGGCAGACTGTTCTGTCAGAAAGGCTTTGTTTTCGTACGTGTGCTGGTCATCTAGATCCGGTCCCGAGGTGGATTTAACGGATGGCTGTTGCTCTGGGGACAGGTCCACTGCAGCGCCATGCTGACTGTTGTCCTCTTCATCCTCACTCCCAGGAGGGCTAACATCATCTGTTGCTTGACCTTTCTCTGCCAGGGATGCTGCCTCCTCTGTTTGTTTGTCTGGTAATAACATGACACAGGGATTACACCAAGACCATGGTGCGGAACACTGAATTATAGATTCCAACTGGAAGATACAAGTGTTTATGGCCAGTAGAGGCTGTTGGTTCACAGCTAACTGCCATGGTGCCGGTATTGTCCCACTGCTGGTTCATACAGTTTTTATTGCCAGCAGTAAATCTCAGAACTACTGCCTGACCATTCCACTGCTGAATGCTCCATCTCATTTGTCAATGTTGCCCAGATTCCCTTCATCATGTCTCATAGCATGAATTATTCCACGGCATTATGTTGAAACAAAATGGAAATACGTGTCTGCCTAAAATATTGACAATAAACTGTATGTGTCTATTGTGTGTAATATGAACGGTTTTGAATGATAAAAACACACTCATTAGAGTGAGTGAGTGAGTGAGTTTTACGCACCCATGTGGAGAATGGAACTTTGGTTTTCGGAGTGATAAGCGAACGCTACAATCACTAGACTACCTCACCACCCCCACACTCAGTAGAAGTGGTGGAAAGATATTTTGTAGGAAGTAAACTGTGAAATTTGATTTCTTAATATGTCTTAAGGTACCATGGGTCTCTAAAGCATACTTGAATCTGTTTGATTCAATATTACATTTCAGCTTCTACTATATACACCTGTGCTTTGTCACAAGTACAATTGCCTTGCCTCTGCATGTTTTTATGACAATGCCACTAGTAGGCATGATATAGTCACCTTTTCGCAAACACTGTATCGTAGATAGACAGTTTCATAAACACATGCCCATGACAATCTCTTGTTTCGGAGACACTGAAAATGTCCAGTGTTTTGTTGTTCTGATTCTATTAATTACACATGCAATATTTGACATCAAAATCTAAAATATGCCAAATTAAAATCATGAAATTGAGTTAACAATTAAACAAAACATGTGTCACACGACAAACATATTCACTGTAGGTTAGTGAGTGAGAGAGTTTTATTTTTACGCCGCACTCAGCAATATTCCAGCTATATGGCAGCGGTCTGTAAATAATCGAGTCTGGACCAGACAATCCACTGATCAGCAGCATGAGCATCGATCTGTGCAATTGGGAACCGATGACATGTGTCAACCAAGCCAGCGAGGCTGACCACCCGATCATGTTAGCCGCCTCTTATGACAAGCATGGGTTACTGAAGGTTTATTCTAACCCGGACCTTCAAGGGTTAACTGTAGGTTAAATTACAGTTGTGTTTGATTGTATGGGTGAGGAGGAATGTTTGAAAGAGCGTGGACATGTTAAAGAGTACCTCGTTAAATTTCTATTACAATGTTACTGGTATATATTGATGAGACCATATGCTCCACAATTCACCAACCACCTCACCAAATTTGCAAGTAAGTAGAACATGTGAATGAGAACTGGATGTTGATCCTTTCAATACATGCATGGATTGGACATATGTCAACACTAAATATGTATCTTAAATTGAGTAAATACACTGACTTTAGGGAATTTCAGGCATCTGATTTATTGTTGAAGACTACAAGTCCAAATTGAATTCAAGAGGACACACAAACAATGCAAACAAACTGTGGAAAATTCACATGGTGCCAAGCATCCATTTTCTCTCAGGTCAGCCATTTAAAAGGAGAACACTTGCAAGTGCAAAAAAAAGACAGGAAATTAAAAAAAAAAGGCCAATTGAAGATGCCAATTTTAAATTTTTCCACACCATTAAATTCAAGATATTCTTGACGGAACAATGAGCAGATGATGATTTAGACAGGATGTCACATGACAACATGGCTGAAACTTTGTGCAAATGATACTTTGATAATTGTTTCTTTAACCAATCCTAAGATACCTTAGCTGCTGTAGCTCGTTTTTGTAACGCTACTGTATCTTTCCGATATTCCCATGGGCTGTAGTAAATTTTATCCAGTATTAATTAATATTGGTGTCCCTTTAATACAATCACATTCAAAATTTGTGTGGATGACATCAAAAGAATACTGTTCAACCAAATTTACAAATTATTAGTGGGGAAGCCAAATTGGGGTGAATTTTTTTTACTAATGGCGGGAGATCCCGTATCCCCATTGTCTATACTGCAGATGGACATTTCTGTAATGCATGAGATGCAAGCTGCCGTACACTGAAACCTGCCACTAATAGAATAATGTGAACCAAGTTAAACCTGAAATAGGAGTGAGTGAGTGAGTGAGTGAGTGAGTTTAGTTTTACATCATATTCCAGCAGGGCGGGGGGCACTAGACCAGAAATGGAGAACAAATATACCTAGCTGTTACTTTACAATTATACTATTCCTTGAAAGCAGGGCATGTTTTTCATCCATTTCTTTCTAAAATAACTACATACACAGCATTAAATGTTAACAACTGTATATATTTAATAATCTCAGAACATTCAGAACTAACTGATCCTGGGGGAGTTACCGTAGTTAACACAATCAGGGCCCACCCCCAATAACCATCCTTATTCACAGACTGCAAGCCTTGCCACCCAATCAGTCATCATGAAGACGACTTTCTAAATGCCATGTTGCTGCAGCTATGAAATTCCGAGCTCTGGGATTTTAATCGCACAATGGACCTTTTGATCCGAGGTCCATCACCTTGTCCACATGACCAAAGAGGATAACCCTATCAGCAAGCTGTCAAGGTAAGGTTGTCTTCTGTGGGATGACTCTATCCCGTCTCGAGTATTGGAACATCAGATGCTTAATTGGCATTTTAGAAGATGATATTTGATGAACATAGAGATCTTTTCTGGGTTACATCTTCTTTTTATTCTCGAGTACAACGTTTCCCGATCATGAAATTGACTGGGAAACTGAAGTCCTCGCAAAAAACATCAGTGACTGGCGGAAACGCAAGTTGATTGAAGCTATCTTCATCAAACGCACAAAACCAGCAATAAACAGGGATCAGGGTGTCTACCTCCCTAATGCATGGTACATAAAACAATAAGACAATACCCTACCCTCGTCACTGTTCCCATGTATAAAGCATAATTTCTATGTATACACTGCTATTACTTTACATTCTATACATTTATAAATACGTCTCTGTACATTTCTAAATCAATCAACAATTTTGTATAAGTATCTGCACATCCATTAATTTTGCAGTAAACAACATCTTATATATTCATAATAACATGTATTCTATTAGCCATGTCATCTGTATCTATTGACCACCACATGTATTGCATCGTCATAGCATTGTGACGTCACGGCCAGAGTTAACAGTTACTGTTCAGTTTTACCTGATGATGGGGCCAGAACAAGCCCTGAAACGTTGTACTCGAGAATAAAAAGAAGATGTAACCCAGAAAAAATCTCTATGTTTATTGGAACATCATTGAAATCTGGATTAATCCCCACTGATAATACATCTGCAAACAGCATCTTGACTATTGCAGAGGAATCTAGGAATGTTATTTTTTTCAGGATTGTCAATGTCATGATGAATATTATGAGAATCATTTTCGGCAGCTATTTTACCCACGTTGATGTGACATCTTGATTGAGAGAGAACAATGACTCCAACTCAATTGGTTTTCAGATTCAATCAGTCAATCGTGCATCCCATGGGAGAGGCGGGACAAAGTATGTGTGTCCATTTTCAGGAAAATCCTAGTGAATCAAATGTTTAGGCTGTATCACTCAAAGTGTTTAAATGTGCAGTGTTTTGTTAATGTTTGTCTGGAAAGGTCGGAAAAGACTTTTAAAGTAAACATTCTTTGAAGCAGATTGTAAAAGAAAAATTTTGTAAAAGAGAAAATTGATCACAACTTCTTTCCCTTTGAAACCTTTTTCATACAGACTAATTATGTTTCATCATGCAGCTTCTTCTAAAACAAAATGTCATCTTTAAAGGTGTTCACCATGCATGTATGTAATTCTAGGCCAGAAAGTGCTATTGATTTCTGTAGCACACAACACCAGTCCGTGGTGAAAGAATCACTTCAAGACATTGATGTGTGTCATGGTGAGCGGGCAGACAGGGGAAGTGAATAGAATCCTTCAACTGTGAAATCTGTCAATAACAGATTAAGTTATGGGCTGCAATTCACTTAAACTTATTAAATCAGAACAAGATTTATCAGGTGTAATGTGTGTGTGTGTGTACTTCATATGGTCATTGATGTGTGTGTGTGTGTGTGCGTGTGTGTGACATTACACAGTATCAAGGTGAGGTGAGGTGAAATTGGGTTGTGCTTGAGAATATTTCGCTCATATGACGACGTGCATGCGTGTGTATGTGTATGTGTGGCTGCTTGTACTAGCCCAGACTGAAGCTGGTTTTATAGTGCCAGCCCACTGAGATACCATGCCGCAGTGAAGCATGAATACCCCACTCAGACACATTATACTGACTCCGAGCCGACCAGTCCTTGTTGTACCCATTAATGCTGAGCGCCAGACAGGGACCAACAAGTACCATATTTTAACGTCTTTTTGTATGACGCTGTCGGGGATCGAACCCGCGACCTTCTGCTCTCCAGGCGGACGCTCTAACCACTACACCACGGAGGCGGTCCAGTATGAAGGTACTTGATATGGTCACTGTTGTGTATGTGCGTATATGCGTGCCAGTACAGAGTATGAAGGTACTTCATATGATTGCTGTGTATGTGCGTGCCAGTACAGAGTATGAAGGTACTTCATATGATTGCTGTGTATGTGTGTGCGTGTGCCAGTACAGAGTATGAAGGTACTTCATATGATTGCTGTGTATGCGTATGCCAGTACAGAGTATGAAGGTACTTCATATGATTGCTGTGTATGTGTGCGTGCCAGTACAGAGTATGAAGGTACTTCATATGATTGCTGTGTATGTAAGTACAGAGCGTGCCAGTACAGAGTATGAAGGTACTTCATATGATTGCTGTGTATGTGCGTGCCAGTACAGAGTATGAAGGTACTTCATATATGATACAGAGTATGATTGCTGTGTATGATTGCATGTGTATTGTGCCAGTACAGAGTATGAAGGTACTTCATATGATTGCTGTGTATGTGCGTGCCAGTACAGAGTATGAAGGTACATGATTGTATGAAGGTACTGCCTACAGAGTATGATGATGTGTATGCATCGTGCCAGTACAGAGTATGTACTTCATATGATTGCGTGCCAGTACAATGTATGTGCGTGCCAGTACAGAGTATGAAGGTACTTCATATGATTGCTGTGTATGTGTGCGTAGTACAGAGTATGAAGGTACTTCATATGAAGGTGCCAGTACAGAGTATGATTGCTGTGTGTATGTGTGTGTGCCAGTACAGAGTATGAAGGTACTTCATATGATTGCTGTGTATGTGTGTGCGTGCCAGTACAGAGTATGAAGGTACTTCATATGATTGCTGTGTATACACAGAGTGAAGGTACTCATATGATATGACAGTGCAAATGCCAAGTACAGAGTATGTACTTCATATTGCTGTACTTGTATGCGTGCCAGTGCGTATGCCAGTACAGAGTATGAAGGTACTCCATATGATTACTTCATATGTGTATGTATGTGCGTGAGTATGAAGGTACTTCATATGATTGCTGTGTAATGTGTGCGTGCCAGTACAGAGTATGAAGGTACTTCATATGATTGCTGTGTAATGTATGTGCAGTGCCAGTAGGTACTTCATAGAGTATGAAGGTACTTCATATGATTGTATGTATGTATGTATGTGCGTGCCAGTACAGAGTATGAAGGTACTTCATATGATTGCTGTGTATGTGTGTGCGTGCCAGTACAGAGTATGAAGGTACTTCATATGATTGCTGTGTATGTGCGTGCCAGTACAGAGTATGAAGGTACTTCATATGATTGCTGTGTATGTGTGTGCGTGCCAGTACAGAGTATGAAGGTACTTCATATGATTGCTGTGTATGTGCGTGCGTGTGTGCGTGCCAGTACAGAGTATGAAGGTACTTCATATGATTGCTGTGTATGTGCGTGTGCGTGCCAGTACAGAGTATGAAGGTACTTCATATGATATGATATGATTGCTGTGTATGTGCATGCCAGTACAGAGTATGAAGGTACTTCATATGATTGCTGTGTATGTATGTGCGTGCATGCGTGCCAGTACAGAGTATGAAGGTACTTCATATGATTGCTGTGTATGTGTCGTGCGTGCGTGCCAGTACAGAGTATGAAGGTACTTCATATGATTGCTTGTATATGTGTGTGCGTGCCAGTACAGAGTATGAAGGTACTTCATATGATTGCTGTGTATGTGCGTGCCAGTACAAAGTATGAAGGTACTCATATGATATGATTGCAATATTAATGGTGTATGTGTGCCAGTGTATGAAGGTACTTCATATGATTGCTGTGTATGTGCATGCGTGCCAGTACAGAGTATGAAGGTACTTCATATGATTGCTGTGTGTGTGTGCGTGCCAGTACAGAGTATGAAGGTACTTCATATGATTGCTGTGTATGTGTGTGCGTGCCAGTACAAAGTATGAAGGTACTTCATATGATTCATATGATTGCTGTGTATTCATATGATTGCGTGCATGTGCCAGTAGTAGAGTATGAAGGTACTTCATATGATTGCTGTGTATTCATATGCGTGCCAGTACAGAGTATGAAGGTACTTCATATGATTGCTGTGTATGTGTCATATGCGTGCCAGTACAATAAGTATGAAGGTACTTCATATGATTGCTGTGTAATGTGTGTGATTGCTGTGTGTGCGTACCAGTACAGAGTATGAAGGTACTTCATATGATTGCTGTGTATGTGTGCATGCCAGTACAGAGTATGAAGGTACTTGATTGCTGTGTATATGATTGCAGAGTGTGTATGTGTGTGCATGTCCGTGCCAGTACAGAGTATGAAGGTACTTCATATGATTGCTGTGTATGTGTGTGCGTGCCAGTACAGAGTATGAAGGTACTTCATATGATTGCTGTGTATGTGTGTGCGTGCCAGTACAGAGTATGAAGGTACTTCATATGATTGCTGTGTATGTGCATGCGTGCCAGTACAGAGTATGAAGGTACTTCATATGATTGCTGTGTATGTGCATGCGTGCCAGTACAGAGTATGAAGGTACTTCATATGATTGCTGTGTATGTGCGTGCATGCGTGCCAGTACAGAGTATGAAGGTACATCATATGATTGCTTGGTGTATGTATGTACAGAGTATGAAGGTCATGTTTTGCGTATGCGTGTACTTCATATGATTGCTGTGTAGTGCAGAGTATGAAGGTACATCATATGATTGCTGTGTATGTGTCTGTTTGCGTGCTAGTACAGAGTATGAAGGTACTTCATATGATTGTTGTGTATGTGTGTGTCACTCTACAAGTGATCATAAACTTGGTTAAAGTTAGTGAGTGAGTGAGTTTAGTTTTACGCCGCACTCAGCAATATTCCAGCGATATGGCGCCGGTCTGTAAATAATCGAGTCTGGAACAGACAATCCAGTGATCAACAGCATGAGCATCGATCTGCGTAATTGGGAACTGATGACATGTGTCAACCAAGTAAGTGAGTCTGACCACCCGATCCCGTTAGTCACCTCTTACGACAAGCATAGTCGCCTTTTGTGGCAAGCATGGGTTGCTGAAGACCTATTCTAACCCGGATCTTCACGGGTCATTAGTTAGTGAATGAGTGAGTTCAGTTTTATGCAGATTTTAGCAATATTCCAGCCATATTACGCAGGGGACACCAGAAATGGGCTTCACACATTGTACCCATGTGCCATTGTGGGTAATCGAACCCGGGTCTTCTGCGTGATGAGCAAACGCTTTTAACCACTGGGTTTCCCCACCATCCCCTTGGTTAAAGCAAAGGTTATAAAACAAACAAAATATTATTATTGTTAGTATTAATATTATTAGTATCACCTGTTGCTACATCGGCCTTACTCTTGTGACTCTTCCTGCTGCGTGCACTCTTCCCACTCCGGACGCTGCTGCGGATGCTGCCTCTGTGTGTGGCGAGAGTGTCCTGATAACGCTTTAGCACCTCATCATCGCTGTCACTGGAGGAGTCGTCATCGTACTGGTAGGATGTTCCTGAAACTGTCAGAAACATGGTGTCAGATTCCTATATACCCTCACTGAGCCATACCATCCCTGGGCCAGACACCACTTTCATACTGTGCCAGACTCCTCTAACTATACCCTCACTGAGCCATACCATCCCTGGGCCAGCCACTGGGCCACCATACTGTGCCACTCCTCTAACTATACCCTCACTTCACTGGGCCACCATACTGTGCCAGACTCCTCTAACTATACCTTCACTGAGCCACAATACTGTGTCAAACACCCATACCATCCCTGGGCCAGACACCTATACTTTCACTGGGCCACCACTCTGTGCCAGACACCTTAAACCATATTCACTGGATCAAAACACAGTGTCAAACACCTTTAACTATATAAATAAAATAATTATAAAAATAAATTTGGCAGATATACACATGTTACAGTTTGATTATTCAGTGACCTTATCAAAGCATGAAACGTTTGAAGCATGTGATTTGAAATAAGACCATGCTGATGTGAAAACATCCGACTTCCACAAAACATCTCATCTTTGTAAATCACCTTGGAAATGTCTTGGAAAGCTGAATCTGTGACAAGTTAAACATTTGTAACAACAATTCTCAAGTTTCTTAAGAGCGGTTCATCTTCTGGAAAAGATCTCAAGAAACTCTTACAGCATATGGCACAGCATGTGTAGCATGCAGTGAGGATTGGAGAGGATTTCTGCCTCGGGAGGAATTGATTATCTGTCAAACTGACTACAGCTCTGTCTTTCACAATGTGCTGGAAGTAATTGAGTAATCATCACATTGCTATTATACAATCATGTCAACTGAAAAGAAAAAGTCGGCCTTTTTATATCTGTAACAACTTTATTGAATTAGATTTTGTACGAAAAATACTGGAAAAACCAAGAGTGTGAAATGAGCTGCTTGGCTTCTGCTCCCTCTTTCCTGTACACCGAATATATAGAATCAGTGAGTGAGTTGAGTTTTACGCCTCTTTTAGCAATATTCCAACACTCAGTCATGGTGGGGGACACCGGAAATGGGCTTCACACATTGTACCAATGTGGACAATCGAACCCGGATCTTTAGCGTTACAGGCGAATGCTTTAACCACTAGGCTACCCCACCGCGCCACCAAATGTATAGAAGGAAGCAGAGCTCACTATTTACACAAAGTAGGAGGTAAGCACATTGCACCATTCACCAAAAACAGAATATATAAAGTAAGAGTATGCATGTTCACATGCAACAAAATATACAAAAGTAAGTAGATTGAACCATTCACACAACAGAAACAAAGATTCAAGCTAACAGACATTGGTCACTTATTTTCCCGCCAATATTACCGAACTATAAAACAAGATTGAAACAGATCAGTGTTGCAGCATTGATGTCAGGATCAAACTCAACACAAATAACCATCATCTTGACATCTGCTCAGTGAACTACAACTTCCTCGTGTTAAGAGCCTGTCCTTTCTGTGCCCAGCACACCTTCAACGAAGGTTGGGCAATAGAGGGAACGTGTCACATCCTGAAAGATTAATGTGGGTGGAAAGGTCTAAGTGGTGAAGTCACACATGTTTACAACTTTGGTGAAACAAGTAACCACAGGTATGGTGTTGACAAACTTATAAACTTAATTAGATCAAAGGAGTAGGAACTGCTGTAGACAAATTTAGAAACTTCATTGGGCCAAACCAGGAAACGAACCATAGATCACAGGTTTCTGTCATTGCCATCACACAAGAGCTTGTAGCTGTCCTGTATTTAAAGCCCCACAGACTTAAACCAACTGAAGAGTTTATGTTGCCCAAATTGCTGGTTCTCACTCGATCACTGACGAGCCACATGAGATGTAGCTCTGCCATGGATCGGTCGAACTGCTTCACTTGCTACACAAGTATAGAGCTGCAAGGAGGTCATTACAATCTGTGATTAGCTCGCTGGGACGATTGTTTACAGAGCACGAACATTATCTGACACTGCTGAAATATCATTCATCCAGACGGTCCTGAGGGATATGTTTCTTGGGACACAAATCTATCTTTGTGATCAATTTCCTCAATAAGGCATAAATGCCATGATTATTCCCCTATCTTGAAAAATCAGTCAATATTATTGTGACTGTATTACAAGACCAGAAGAATGTACACGCGATAAGGAAAGCAGACCCTTCACATTTCTCAAGCTTGTAATGTATACTGTGTCAAAAATACAGAAGCATTCAACCTCCACATACAGGACTAAGGCGGTGGGGTAGCCCAGTGGTCAAAGTGTTTGCTCATCAGAGTGAAGATCCGGGTTCGATCATTCCCCACATGAGTACAGTCTGTGCAGCCCATTTCTGGTGTCTCCCCCCGTGATATTGCTAGAATATTGCTAAAAGCGGCGTAAAACTAAACTCACTCATATACAGGACAGTCCACCACCATAAATGGTACTGTCCAGTGTCCACCACCACATATGGTACTGTCCAGTGTCCACCACCACATATAGTACTGTCCAGTGTCCACCACCACATATGGTACTGTCCAGTGTCCACCACCACATATATGGTACTGTCCAGTGTCCACCACCATATATGTAGTACTGTCCAGTGTCCACCACCACATATGGTACTGTCCAGTGTCCACCACCACATATATGGTACTGTCCAGTGTCCACCACCACATATGGTACTGTCCAGTGTCCACCACCACATATGGTACTGTCCAGTGTCCACCACCACATATATGGTACTGTCCAGTGTCCACCACCACATATGGTACTGTCCAGTGTCCACCACCATATATGGTACTGTCCAGTGTCCACCACCATATATGGTACTGTCCAGTGTCCACCACCATATATGGTACTGTCCAGTGTCCACCACCATATATGGTACTGTCCAGTGTCCACCACCATATATGGTACTGTCCAGTGTCCACCACCATATATGGTACTGTCCAGTGTCCACCACCATATATGGTACTGTCCAGTGTCCACCACCATATATGGTACTGTCCAGTGTCCACCACCATATATGGTACTGTCCAGTGTCCACCACCATATATGGTACTGTCCAGTGTCCACCACCATATATGGTACTGTCCAGTGTCCACCACCATATATGGTACTGTCCAGTGTCCACCACCATATATGGTATGTCAGTGTCCACCACCACATATGGTACCAGTGTCCACCACCATATATGGTACTGTCCAGTGTCCACCACCATATATGGTACTGTCCAGTGTCCACCACCATATATGGTACTGTCCAGTGTCCACCACCATATATGGTACTGTCCAGTGTCCACCACCATATATGGTACTGTCCAGTGTCCACCACCATATATGGTACTGTCCAGTGTCCACCACCATATATGGTACTGTCCACCCACCACATACAGCAGTGCTTAGTGTAGTGTGTTTATGTTGAGCATGTTCTGGCAATGATATATACAACTGTGCTCCAGATCTGTTCCAGGTCTGAGTCTGTCCTTGGCAAATGCCTGGGTTATCATTTGCTTGACATTTAGTTTTATGTGTATAAATTGTTTATGTTTCCATTGATTTCCCCAGTCTCAGTGTAGAAACATGTCTTTTGTGTTTCTGATCAAACATGATTCACTTTGGTGATTCATAGTGAACTTACACAATACAAGCTTACAGAATGTTTAAGTACAATACGTTCTGTCAAAATATTGATATTTAAACAGACATTACCTAGTTGAAAAAACCCTCTAAAAACTCCAATGATCATGGATGCTTATTTTTCTCTAATATAATAATCAATTCTAATATATACCATATAACACATATTTTTTATTATGTAGCATACTTCTACACGTCTTAAGACAGGCAAATAAATTTGACATAAAAAATTAACTTACTTTACGTTTACAATTCACAATGGTCTTACCAGTTCACTGACAATCAATAGCGATTTCAAATTTCATCTAAACATACATGGCCATATTCCTGGTGAGATAATTACTGTGCTTGCAAAAATGAGATAAAGTCTCCAAGGACAGGGTGAATCTACTTCCAGAAGTGGATCATGTGCCTGATCAATAAAGCTGTTTGGATTCTCTCTCCTGCCATCAGACTACAGGGGAGAAGATATGGCCGTCCTAACTGTGTCATCAACCTTTTCCTGGAGCAGGGCTAGGGGGTTTAACACACCCTGACCTCAAACAACTTGCAGGCACTAAATGTTTACAGGGAGCAAAATGCTGTCGGTTCAAATGTCTTGTGAATGTTTTACATATTGAGGACAGTTTCTTGTGAATTGTTAATGACCATACTCCCATTCATAAATGTAAAACAAATGACTGTCACGCATGTTTTTTTTCTACTCAGGAGTCATGACGAGGTGACGGCACAGGGCACAGGATGATAGTAGGAATAAGGCAGAGTATGACAGAAACAAGGGAGAGCATGATGGCACAGACGGGGAAAGCATAAAGCAGTTTACACATATTGCTGCATGATAACACTAACATGGCACTGCATGACAGTACAAATGGCATAGAATGACTGAACAGACAGCGAACTGCATAAAGCAGTTTAGACATACCATTGCATGAAAGTACAGACATGGCACTGCATGAGGCAGCTTAGACACAATACGGACAGTGCACTGCATCACGGCACAGACAGAGCACTCCAGCATGACACAATACTGGCAGAGTACAGCATGACAATACTGGCAGAGTACAGCATGACACAATACTGGCAGAGTACAGCATGACACAATACTGGCAGAGTACAGCATGACACAATACTGGCAGAGTACAGCATGACACAATACTGGCAGAGTACAGCATGACACAATACTGGCAGAGTACAGCATGACACACTGGCATACATGGCAGAGTACAGCATGACACAATACTGGCAGAGTACAGCATGACACAATACTGGCAGAGTACAGCATGACACAATACTGGCAGAGTACAGCATGACACAATACTGGCAGAGTACAGCATGACACAATACTGGCAGAGTACAGCATGACACAATACTGGCAG